TAATTCCAGCACTGGGGAGGCTTTAAAAAGGAGGCTCACTATGAGTCAGGCTATGTAGTGAGATCCTGTACTGAATACATTAAAAAAAAAAAAAAAAAAAAAAAAAGGATACTAAGAAAGCATTGTTCCATTTCTGGAATGCTCCTTATTCTGGCATTCCAGAAGTTCTGCCCCATTTTGCAGCTTTTCATACTAAGTTTTGTGTCTTGATTATAGAGAGGCGAGGATGTTTTCATTACCAAGTATTTCCTCAAGGTGTTACACTTCTACTAACAAATTAACTTATGCTTTGTTATAAAAAGTTTCTCAGGAAACGTGTAATCAGTCTAAATAGCATTATTTCTATATATAGACCAGGACTTTGACTCTAAACTTATTTTTCACATAGTTTTTCAATGCAGTAATTCAGATTGACTATTTCCAGGCTGTATCAGAAAGATTCTCCTTGGAATAGAAAGCATTATTCTAGGGTCAGCGAGATAGCTTAGCGGACTAAGCACTTAAGCACCTGCTTAGGCAAGTGCAGGGATTGGGGCTTGACCCCTGGCACCACATGCCTGTCTGGCCCTGTGCCTGGGTGCACTGAGCCACCACTGATACCAAGTGTGGTGGTGCATGCCTATAATTCCAGCACTGGGGAGGCTTTAAAAAGAAGGCTCACTGTGAGTCGGGCTGTGTAGTGAGATCCTGTACTGAATACATTTAAAAAAAAAAAAAAAAAAGGATACTAAGAAAGCATTGTTCCACCAACACACCCACTGCATTTAAAAATTTACAAAATAGGGGCCGGGGAGTTAGCTCAGTAGAATAAGTGCTTGCCTGGCAAGTGCAAGGGCCTGAGTTCAATCCCCGGTTCCGCAAAAAAAAAAAAAAAAAAAAAATTTACAAAATGTTTTGCCACCTTAGTCTGCCTCTTTTCTCTTTATGACCTATACAGAAAGTATCATCTTCCAATTAAAAACAGGAGAAGCAGGCAGAATATGGCATTGTGACTGAACTGATTAATTTATGTAACATTTATTAAGTTTCTGCTGTTTGACTGATAATGTACTCATGTTCTTTTATTACCTATACATGTCCTCTGACTAGAACCACTATTACTATGGTTACAGCATCTTAAATTTAGTAGTTTAAACCCGAGTTTTCTTTGAGACTAATTATTCAAAATAACATTTCTTTGGCGAGAAAACTTACTATAGAAAATTGTGCCAAGCATGGTGGAGCATGCCTGTAATCCCAACACTTGGGAGGTTGAAGCAGGAGGATCATTCTGAGTTTGAAACTAGCCTGGGCTACAAAGTGAGTCAAGGCTAGCCTGAACTACAGAATGAGACCAATGTCAAAAAGACAGAAAAAAAATTAACGATTTATCTTACGATGTGACTGCTTTGAAAGAAAGCTGGTGCATTTATGCATTGGCTACTGAGGAGAGAATGAGTGGGTGTAGTAACTTGGGGAAGAACTGAGGCTCAGGAGTCTTTGGGTGTTTTTAACCTCTAGACTGTGTGATTCTAGACAAAATAACATTCTCTGCTTTCTTGTTTTCCTGACTTTAATTAGAAAGTAATGACTTTTCTTTCTTGTACATTGAGTTGTGGAGGGAAAAATAGCATAAACTAACAAATGATTTTATGAAAAATGTTTTAAGAATTTATCACTATGATGATACCTGTTTACAGTGCTGTCCTCTGGTGATAGATACCAGATAAGTGTTTATGATGTGGAGTTCTAAAAGGATTCCTTCTCTCTTTCTCTCCCTCCCTTCTTCCTTGCCTTCTCTGTCTCTGTCTCTATCTCTCTCTTGTCTCTTGTGTCTCTGTGTTTGTGTCTCTGTCTCCGTCTTTGGTCTGTCACTCTGTTTGTATCTTTGTCTCTGTCTGTCTGTCTCTCTGTATCTGTCTCTGCCCCTCTCTGTCTCTCTTTTCTCTGTATTTTTGTCTCTCTGTCTCTGTCTTTCTGTATCTCTGTCTGTTTCAGTCTCTCTCAGTCTATCTCTGTGTCTGTCTGTCTGTCTGTCTGTCTGTCTGTCTGTCTCTCTCTCTCTCTCTCTCTCTCTCTCTCTCTCTCTGACTGGCTCAAAGTCCTGCTCTAAAGCCATCTTCCAACTCAGCCTCCTAAGAGCTGAGTCATGTCACCATGCGGGCTTATTCAATCACATTCACTTGTAACCTAACCTAATGTGAGATTGTAGCTCACAGCAGAGCTCACATATTGCACTGTATGCCATGTGAAGGATACTTTTCTATTTTCTGTTCCCTTTTCTAATAGAGAAAAGGTAGGGTACATTAGCCAAATATTTATCTTAACTATTAGCTTCTAGTTCATCATTCCAAATTGTTCTGATCATTTATAGGAGAAAAACTAAACATAGGTCATTCTTGATTTCTTTCTCTTTCATAGTGCAGTGGTTAAATGATGTGAACAGTAATAAAAGGAGCAAGCAGTTTTGAATAGTCAGACAGCTGCTCTTAGCTTTTAAATCATTGTATTTATTTTCTGATTAATATAGGTGTACTATAAATAGTGGATTCTGATCCTGAGGTTCTTGATCCTCGAGTGTTCTGTTTCTCATTTCTTAGTGGTTAATAAACCTTAAAACGTGAAGCAATAAAAAGTTGGAACAGTTCTAAACCATTCCTTGGAGAAAGTTTCCAAACATGAATAAAAAGTCAAAAATAACAAGCTCCCTTCAGTGAAGTTGGTATTGTGCTTGGAATTTTTTTTTTTTTTTTTTTTTGTATTTAGGACAGGGTGGACAGGGTCTCACTGTGTAGATCGGACTCATAGTAATCCTCCTCTTTACAGCTTACTAAGTGCTGGGATTACAGGTGTGTGCCACCACACCCAGTGTCAAAGCCAGTGCCATCTCAGAGCGCCACAAGGGCAGGGCCAGCACGGCAGGCCAGGGGATCGAACTCCTGGCCCCTGGGTCTGCCTAAGCAGGCACTTTAATCCTCTGAGCTATTTGGCCAGCGCTTGTGCTTGGTATTTACTGCCTTATATTATTATTGTCATAACAGTCACCTAAAGAGAGAGGAGCCTTTTGTCTGCTACTTTGTGCAGAAGAAACAGTGGTCTAAAGTCAAGACAAAATAATTGAACCTTACCCTGGATTCCATACATTTTAAAATGGCAGACATGTAATGAAAGTAGAACCAAATATCCTTCAATTTATGTAGTAGTATGCATTCTCTGTTTAAAAAAAATCAAAGATAGGTAAGATCTTATTTGTAACAAGTTACCAATAACTGTACTTACGTGTGTGTGTGTGTGTATGTGTGTGTGTGTGTGTGTGTGTAATTACAGACAGATCTGAATGGTACATGGTACATTGGTAGCACTGATCAGCCTGGAGAAGTTGAAAAGATGCAGGAGTAGAAGTGGTGGTCAGACAACTCTTTAGCTTTATCTTGAATGTTTTCTTTTCCCCCCACAACGTTTTTGTACATTAGTTATGCAAATTTAAGTCAATAATTAAAAACTCTTAAAGAGTGAGGGTAAGAAAGAAACCTGATTCTAGATAAGGTTTAATCTTCTTTGACTGACCTCTTTTTGTCCCATTTGTATTGACTTCATCATCCCAATATCCATCCAAGAATGTTTAAAACTTTTCAATGATAATCTGTATGTAAGTTAATTAGTTAGCATAGTTACCACTATTTTACTAACTAATTAGTATAGTTATTGATAGGTACAGGACCACTTAATAGGGTAGATAAGTACACAGACCTTGAGTTCAGACTTCCTGAGTTTGAATCTTGACTTTCCTTTCCTATCATATACCCTTTCTGTCTCAGTTTCTTCCTTTATACTTGTATAGGTTATTGTTAGATGTAGATGAGTTGTCTGTATAGTTCTTCCAACAACACTTTGGCAAAGAGCCATATAATAGTTAGCTGTTGTTATTTTTATTATTACTGTTTTATCATCTTAAAACTTGGAGACACTATGGCAAGTTGAGGTACATACCCAGACTTTCTGTGTTCATGAGCATATACATATCATACTTATGTATATACACAATACATTTGTGTGGGTAAGTATACATATATTTTTATTAAAATTAGATCTTACTGTTTCTGAATTTCATAAACTTCTTTTGTGCTGGATACCACTTACTAGAAATACCACGTTTCATTAGGTGAAATAATGATATTTAAATAAAAATCTGATGCATTTGGCCTTAAATAGGTATGATGGCTTAGATTATTTTGAATGAATACATGAACTTAGGGTAAAAAAAAAAAATTTTGCAGTTGTACTGAAAATCTGAATGACTTATGATTATTAAAAGGGCTCTATGGGGCTGGAGAGATGGCTCAGTGGTCTAGAGCACCTACTTGGAACAAGCTTGGCAAAGCACAGGTTCGATCCCCCAGCACCACATGCCAGCCGGCCGCGCCCCCTGGTGGGCTGAGCTGGCCACACACACACACACACACACACACACTGTTAAAATAAATAAAAAATTAAAAAAAAAAATAAAAGGGCTCTGTGAGATCAGATACATGCTACTTAAAGTGATTATTATTTGCCTGGTTTGTTAAGCAATAGTGTTCAAAATTTAAAAATGTTTATCTTCAGTGCCAGTATGCAAGATAGAATGCTATTTTTATTTTTATTTACTTCTAAATATTTATTCATTTGGTATAGGATCTCAGTACACAGCTCAGACTTGTACTGATCCTCCATCTCAGCCTCCCCAGCACTGGGATTACAGATGTGTGCCACCATGCCTGGTTTTAGTGGCCGACACAGCACACCTGGAACAGAGGCACAGCATACAGTACTAGGGATCGAACCCAGGTCCTTGTACTTGCCAGGCAGGTGCTTAGACTGCCGAGCTATCTTTCCAGCCCTGGAGTGCTATTTTTAAAGTGTGTCACTGTGGGAAAGGCATTGGGATAGAACTCACTGTAAATAAGTATAATGTGCCATAAAAAGTAGTACATTGATTGTTGATAAAATCACTTCTTCCTCCATCTCTTCTGGATTTTCAGGAGATGTTTCACAGAGCAGAAGAATTTATATCCCAAACCACGGACACTGGAGTGGATGACATGGATACATCAGATACGCAGTGGGGCTGGTTCTACCTTGCGGAGTGTGGGAAGTGGCACATGTTTCAGGTACCACTCTCTTGCATGGAGTAGAAGGGGCTTAGCTTCATGTAGCACCATCTCACTGAGTTATAAAGAGTGACTGCAGGACTTACATCAAAACTTGAAGAAATAAACATCTTAACTAGCAGAAAAGTTCAAAATTCTCCCAGTTCTTTCATTTTTCTACAAATTTCCACAGTGATTTATTTAGAAGAGACAGCGTGTGTTGCTGTAACAGAGGGCCAGTGTTATGTGAGGTCAGCTCAATTTACTTTTGAGAAACTCCAAGTTTGAACTGATAGTTGAAGAGAGAAAGGGAGCAGCAAGACCATATTAAGTCTCTCCTAAATGCCATGTTTTCTTTCTTATTCTCGCAAACTCTCCCAGATGTTGAGGCTGTTGAAGAAAGTAAAACTCAGAAAAGCTCATTTGTTTAAGATCACGGAGGGAAATAAACTGAGATCCTCAGAAGTCTGTATCTTTCTTTTAACCATGCCAAGGTTTTAAAAAGGATTTAACTTGATCCACTTACTATAAGTATTAAAATAATTTTGTAAAAATTGTAACAGTTTGTCAGAAGTCATTGTCACCAGTTTTTGAAGGGGACCAACCGTAGCAGTTTTTCTTTTTCTTTAAGTCCATAAACTACTTGCAGTGTGCTGCTGTAGCATGGGTCTTCTGTGTGTTGGGAGCTAGAATAGCTTCTCTAAGTTTCCTCACTCTTCCAACACCACTTTGTGGCCACCTCACTGGCATGAGCAGCTGGTAAACAAAACTCTCTGGTCTGTCTTAAAGCCGGATGCCAACATTCAGTGTTCAGTCAGCAGTGAAGATATCGAGAAAAGCTTCAAAACAAACCCTTACGGCTCCATTTCTTTTACCACTTCCAAATTCAGCTACAAGATAGACTTCGCAGGTATGTTTTTTGCCTAATAGTTGTGTGCTTTTAGTATTCTGATACAGTGCAATCTGCAGCTCTGAAGATCAGGATTAGTTGATATGTTTTCAAACAGCAAAGTAAATCCTTTTTGTTACACACAAAAGTAGCTCTATAAAAATTCAAGGTTTGAAATCTTGAGCAATGTTGCCTTTTATAAAGGCTTCTCTATATGCTTATATAAAATATACATGGATAGCATCATATTTTGAGTTCCTGTATTATCTTTTAAGGAATACAAAACATTTTATAGCTTTTTTTGTGTGTATGAGACAGGGTCTTGATAAGTTACCTAGCTGGCTGTAGCCTCCCAAGTAGCTGGGTTTACGGGTTCATGCCACCACAACCAGCTTGTAGCTCTTGTCATTCTGAAAATAGTAAATAGATTCTCATCGTTCTGAAAACAGATTTGAAACAGTTAGGAATTCTTTTACTTTAAAATACAAATAGATGTTAAATGACAATGTTAATAGATAACTGATACTAGTTTCAAAACCAAAAGGTAGCCTAGTGACCCTTCTCTTGGTATTTTTGCCAAATTGCGTTTTTTGTTTTGTTTTGCAGTATTGGGGTGCTGAACACAGGACTTTTGCACTGAGCTGTATCCTAGTCATTTGGTGTTTTTTCGAGACATAAATTTTACTAAATTGCTCAGGTTTGGCTCATACTTGTGATCCTTCTCCCTCAGCTGCCAAGAGTGCTGGGATGGTATATATGCACCACCATACCCAGCTCTGTCTGCCACTTTTTAGTATTATTGGTTCTTTCATAGGTTATCCAGCCAATCTGAAAATTAACTTCACTTTGACTTTTTACCCTTGTTCATGGAGTGCTTTTAGTTATCATGAGAAGCCCATTTGATTCACCCTTAGGTTTTAAGCAGCAAACACCTGCTATCTGTTGGCCAGAAGCAAGCAAAGCATACACTCAGGGAGGCTTTTAGCTTTCACTTCCCAGTTTCTATGAGTTATATCTTTCTGACTCTAGTCATAGTGTGTTGTACAGGGGACATGGAAGCTTACCAAACTGCCAAGGATGAGCCTTGACCAGAGCTGGTGTAGGGGCTTGGGCCAGGAAGTTGATGTACCCAAGTGACTTATAATTACTATCTTGCTAAAGTTCTTTCTTTTTTCTTTCTTTCTTTCTTTCTTTTTTTTTTTTTTTTTGAGGGGGGCAGAACTGGGGATTGAACTCAGGCCCTTGTGCTTGCCAAGGAAGCACTTATTCCACTGAGCCCTCTCCCCGGCCCCATGAAATTCTTGCTTTTAAAAAAATTATCAAAAGTTAAAACTGGCAATGTCAGAAGTTGTTGACATGAGCCTTTTACAGCTCAGCATATTAATATGGCTTTACTTTTTATACCTCATTTTTATACTTTTCTGCTGGCTGGTTAAGACCAAGATAAAGCAAGACCTATATAACAAAAAATGTAACTTTTGTCTCTGACAAGGTCAATCAAATCCCCTTAGAATTTATCCTGAAACTTTATACCGCAGTTTGTAGATCCTTTGTCAGTGTCAGCCATGTGGATGAGTCACAGCCAGTGCTTGACCAATTTGCTCTCTGTGAAAGCCTGAGAGAATGTTTTCTCTCTAGATGACTGTCCTTAGGCACACTCTACATCATCAATCACTTTCCTCTGTGGCCCCATAATCTCCTTGATCATAAAATCTTGGGCACCACTGAGTTACAGAATGTTACAGTACATGTTCTCTTAGGTCCTGAGTCCTCACTGACCTTGAAGGGCTAGGGCCAAAATTTGGTTATCCTTGTAGCCCTTCTTTTTCTCTAATTTTTTGGGCTGCAAAGGCTCAAGTCAACAACTTCTGACATTATCAGTTCTGCAGATAATCCACTACTATTATGGACTACTGGACTATACTGGATTATTTTGCTGAATTCACGCACCTAAAATATTTGAATGATAATGGAATACCCATCTCTGACATAACTAAACGAAAAAGGGGATATCTGTAGATACAAAATAGGATAGATATACAGCTACTTTCTCTTAGTTCAGTGAGAAGAAAGATTTTTACTAATAGTGTTTAGACAAGATATCATGTCTGCATCTTGTACTGAGTAACTACTATGAAGACAATAATATGTGATGTATTAATTATTGTAACTGTCCTACTAACCTGTTTTGAAATTGTCTCACTGCTATTTCTATATCAATAAAATTGAGTTTAAAAAATCAGTACTATTGGAGTCTTACTAGTCCTAACAGCTATGAACAGGCTACCGGTGAAGGAATCCTAACTCTTGTGATTCTGCATCAGTTGAGACAGATACCAGGGATACATTTCTAGGTTTGCATACAAGAGCTGTTCTTGAAGTAGAATTATGTACAAAAGCTTCTGGTTTTGTGAAGAGGATGAAGTTTGTTAACACATTTGGCAGAAAATTTAGTTAGCCACATCTTTGCCAAGAATATTCACTAGTAAACTATACTGTGAATTCTGTTAGATACATTCTCTTAATTCATTGAATAGAGGGAATTGTTCTAATAGTGTTTGTAAACAGGATATCATGTCTGCATCTTGTACAACAAATAACCACTAAGAAAACAATATGTAATGTATTAATTATTGAAACTGTCCTACTAATTTGATTTGAAACTGTTTCATTGCTATTTGTTTCTCAATAAAATTATGGAAAAAAAAGAATTCTATTAGAAATTATGGTCTTTTTTTTCACAGTGTGTACAAATTTAAAGTTTAGCATATCAGCAATTGATGGAAAATACCTGTTCCATGTAATATCTAAGGCATTTGATATTCAGACAGATACTGATGTTAAGCTCAATGGTTTTAAGATATATTTTTTATCACAGAATAGGAAAATAGTCCCGTTGACTAGTAACTCAAGTCCCCCAACTATATAATGATACTGTTTTGGAGGTATAATCACTAGTACTTAACATATACTGTTTCTGAGGTTTTTAGCCCCAGCCCTTCTGCCATTACCCAGCTCAGGTTTTCACTGTAAAAATGGTGAAAAGAAAACAGAAACGACAATGGTCTAAAAAGATGGCGCTGAGATTGTGGTCCATGCACTGAGGTGGCCACGCCGTGTGTGCCTGGTCAAGGAGAATATGGAGAAGGCAAGCAAGCGCACTTGACAGTAGCCCTGGCCCCAGGGAGTCTGTCCTTCGTTTTGGAACAGAGCAGTCAAGCAGACACTTACAGGAGGGTGTGATGCTTACCTGTGTGGGAATGGATAAATAGACCTGCTAAATATTGCCCAGGCTGAGGCATGGATAAAATAAGAAGTAGTAATGGGATTAATTAATCTTTTATGACTAGAATATTTTATGAGAAGATGTATGGACCTCTCCAGGTTTTCTATTTTTTTTTTTAATTTAGATAATTTAAGAAAGACAATTTAAGAAAGGCATGAATGTATAAATTTTTGAAATTCTATGAGTGCAAGTTTTATAATGGTAACATATCTTTTATAATTACTTCCAAATTTTTTGGTGAAATGAAAATATATTTTTCTACTTAGTAACAAAAGATTTACTTTATGTTTTCTCTGTCTAGTGCTTTTAACCCTCCTAAATTAAAGCTCTTGTATGTTAGTGTCAATTTAACTTCGGTGGTACACAGAAAGGAGCAGGCCCTGCATACTGAGTAGCATCTTGTATGTGAGCTAAGACCGAGCAAGCACTGATGCTGTGCTCGCCTGAGCACCCCAGCACATGATCAGTGGCTGTGTGGTCAGGTATCCTGATGCATGCATGGTGCTTGTCAGTTACTGCCGGAGCGCCGTGCTCCTGAGCGTCAGGCTCTGTGGCTACTCATCTTCATGACACTTCATGGTAGTACATTTCTGTGGCTGATGTGATGTCTTTGTTTTTATACACAGAAATGAAGCAAACGAATATCACCACTGGAAAACAGCGCTTAATAAAAAGGGCTCCCTTTTCTATCACTGCTTTCAGGTATTGTACAGAGGAAAACTGCAGAAAGAATGGGTTATCCTCTCCCCTCTCTTTCTTTCTGTGTAATAGAAAAACAGACGGATACTTTAGTAGGTCATGTAATGATCTTAAAATTGATCTTTTAAATATTAAATCTCATTTGTAGATAAAACAAGAAATTATTATATTTTATTATTGTTTTCTTTCTTGCTATTTTCCACCTTTTTTCTTGTATATTTCTGTTTTTCAGTTCTGTAGAACAGTGTTGTTCATGACAGTTATAAAATGTTTTATGGCCCCTATTATAAACATTTAAACCACTGAGGTAAGTTTGAATTTCACTGGAAATACTCTCAGAGGTCATCACATTATTCGGGCCATAAATCTTACATAAGAACCCATTTTGTCTGTACCTCTACTGATTCCCTGTGGCCAGGCTTGCTAGTAATTTCATCCTGAGGGATTGAGGGAGGCCTTAGGCAGATGGTTACACATCGGACAGTTCTATGTTTCCTAGATCCGGATGGTATGTTCCATTTTTTGCTCTTTCTGGACTGATACGGTCTGAAAGAGGTTGGAAATGCCAGAAGAGAGTAAATATTTGTTATTCATGTGAGTAGGATTAAAGGGGAAAGTATTACAGCATGTCTCCAATTTTCTGGAATGATTCAAACATTAAAAAAATCCTTTTTGCTGAATTTAAAATGAAACTGAAAAAAAGTAGCATGTGAATTGTGAATAGGGCCTTTTACTCCTCCCAAGGAGATCTTTTGAAAGGATTAGAGAAAAATAAAGAAATTTTAAAAACTAGAATAAAGAACTAAATAGCTTAAGTTTTTATCAGTTTGTATCTCAAGATTTTTGGCTTTTATTATAACATCAAGATTTAAAATGTTCGAGTACTTACACAATTAACGCTGTACTACTTACATAGACTATAGAGAATATTTTCTTAATAGTTACATCAGAACAAGAATGTAATAAAGGAATTTCATATAACCACATTCATAATTTCATATAACCACATTCATAATTCAAAAAATTTCATATAATCACATTCATAATGAAAGACACAAATTAGAATCATTTTTGTTATCAACTTGAGAAAAATTCAGTATCCTCAAAGAATGTATGTTGTGGGAGAAAAATGAGATAAAAAAAGATAGCAAATATTGCTGTAATTGTGTGTTGCTATGTCTGCTAATCCTTTGGTTGGGGAGGAAGTACAAGTTGAGGCAAGCGCTTTTTCCTCCTAGACTATACAAATCATAGAACAAAGGCAGGAGTGGAGCACAATTAAAACAGCAAGCAAGAGAAACATAAAAGGAGAGGAATAGTTAGAGGAACACTGGAGTGAGGAGGTCACTGGGTACTGATACAGAAATGTGGGTATACTGAGGGAACATGATGGGTGTTGACTGACAGCTCCACACACCAGGGGTGTTTTTATTGTAAAGCAGCAAAGGAAGGCCATGGACACATGTTTTTTGTATGGTCCTGGGAATTTAACAGTAGCCTCACATTAACCAAACCCCAACACTTATTATTTTTAGTGTTTTTTAAAATTTTTTTGTTTTTAAATTTTGAGACAAGGTCCTGCTAAGCTACAGAAACAGAACTAGAGCTTTTGATCCTCTGATCTCAACCTCCCAGACAGGTATGCACTACCATGCCTATTAAATTAAAAAAAGAATTATTATAGCTAAATGATATTTAAAGCAAAGTAAGAAGAAAATTAGAGAAAAAATTTATTATAGTTGAATAATTCCTATAGTATTTGAGTTCTAGAACTTTCTAAGATCAAGATCGACTAAAAATTTCATATAACCACATTCATAATGAAAGATACAAGTTAGAATCATTTTTGTTATCAAGTTGAGAAAAATTCAGAAGTTTAATAACACCTTTTGGGAGAGGTTGTTGGAAAATAGGCATTCTCAACCTTTGTGAAAACATTAAGAATAACCTTCAAAAATGGCATTAGGGCAGTTATTTGTCAAAAATAGTGAATAAATATATACTTTAATACAGAAATTTCATTTCAAAAATACTGTTCTGCAGGTACACTAGTGGACATCTAAAATGACAAACAAATTTGCTCTTTGTAGCTTGTTAATAGAGTAGCAAAAAGTTGAAGATAAGGTCAAGTACATCAGTAGGGGTCTGGTTGAGTCAATCATGGCAAACCTATACAGCAGATTCTAGCCATCTGTAAGAACGCCTGTATCTAGTCAGCCAGTATTTGTTAAATGTCTGCTGTATACCAGGTTCTCTTGTTGGCTCTCTGTGTACTGATGTTGAAGAATATTGATAATGCATGAAGTGAAAAAAAGAGTCCAAAAATGAGTGCTTTGTGCTTCTGTTTGCGTGGGAAAAAACTTGGCTGTTGCTGATTAGAGTTCTGAAAGACTATCTGAGAGACTAAAGACAGTGATTGCCTGGAGTTTGCGCAGAAAGTGAGCACTGAACAGAGCAAGGACTAGGCTGTGAGGGAGCGTCTCCCTGTATATTGCTTTCTATGTATTTTCTTTCTTTTCTCTTGTGGTACTGGGGTTTGAATCACTAATGTCAGGCAGATGCTCTACCACAGAGCTATTCTTACTCAGCCGTTTTCATTTTCTTTTCTCACTGAGTTCCCCGGGTTGGTCTCAAACTTGCAATTTTTCTGCCTCAGCCTTATGAGCAACTGAAGTTAATTGAGCTGCAGCCATTTGCTTGTTTTATTTTTAAAAATATATGTCTTCAGTTTTTTTACTAACCTTAAATTCTGGGCTTCTACTTATTTTTGATCATATATTACTTTTTAAAATTTTTCATATTTTACTCTCACTACCTTGGCCGGGGAAAGGAAGGGATTCCCAGTTCCAGACTTGCCCTGTTGTGTCATCTGCAGACAGAGTGGGGTACAGTGTCTGATTTTCATTACTGAGGATAGGGATCAGAGTCAGATGAGGTGCATCACTGCTGCTGGGGAGCAGGGGCTGCTGGTAAAGAGGCAGCAGGTAACCGTGGAGTTGCCCATGGAAGGCTTCTGTTCAAGGCACCCACCCAGGTATCCAGGCATCCTCCATGAACATCACAGGAGTGGCACGTAGGTCTGCTCCTTGGAGATGGGCATGCTACAGCTCTGGGGCTGATACTGTGGCATCTTCCCAGAGAGGACCTGAGATGTCTCTGTCCTTCCACCTGTATCCCAGGATCTTGTGCAGGGCCTCTCCACAAGGACATGGTAACAGTTGGCTCCTTGGTCTCTCCTTGGTCTTGAGTATGAATAGTCAAGTATGAATCCTGCAGATTTAGCAGAAAGTATAGTCACTTTTTCCAACTTTCCTTTATGTCCCTCTGGTGGACACACTGGGGAATTGCTTGATACTCCATAATTATTTTTCTCTTGGATGTATACCTCATGGTCCAGAAATTCCCAACCTTCTCAACATTTTTTTTTTCCATTTTTTAAAGAATACAGTGTAGTTTTTTTTTTAAAGCATTAGAAATGTTACAAAATTTATTTAACAAAGTAATAACAATTTAACAATGGTTGCTGTATTGCATGATGTTATCACTCAAACTAGTTGTTTAGGTCACCAGATATAAACCTACAGACCTTGAAGGAAACTCTGGGTTCCCTGGTCAGTGTATGGTTGAGTGACTGGCCTGTTCTTGCTTCTTGGGTTTCATTTCTCTTTTTTGGAGTCTGGATGTTTCTGGAAATTTCTTTCCAAAGCACTACTTTCTCCATTTTATTCCTGTTTCCTGATTGCAGTCTTTGCTGTAGGGAAAGGACCTGTTCCTAACATAATCCAAAGAGTTGAGAGGAACCTGGCACAGAGATGTGTTTGATCCTCTGCTTCTTGAGGTCTCTGAATTACTTTATTTTTCAAAATTGAAAGTGAATTTTAAAGAACGAAACAAAGTATTGCATAGGTTTGGGATTTGTTAATCTCTCCTATTTCGTTTTTGTTTTAATTTTTAGAGATATGGGAGACTTAAACTAGAGTTTCTTATTGACCCAGCTCCCAGCCCTTTTTTTAATTTTGAGTTAGGGTCTGGCTAAATTGCCTAAGCTGTTCTTAAACTTGGCAGTATTCCTACTTCAGCCTTCTAGAGTACTGGGATTGTAGGCATGCCCCACCATCCCAGGATATTTTTGAAATTTGTTAGTAAATATATGATTATATACTTTCCATTCAAAGTTCACAATTCAACACCTAACAAGTAACACACAAGAGAAATTCAGTGAATATTTTTAAATAAAGAAAATAAAAACTACACTTGGTTGCATTTGTCATAATAACCTACATATGAAAATTTACCATTGGTGAAAAAGCTAAATAATTAGCAACAATTATAATAGCTCCTGATATTTTGTTTTATCTTTGCTATTTGAAGTTACATCTGTGAAAATGAAGCTATACCCATGCCTCCACACTGGGAGAATGTGAACACTGAAGTACCCTATCAGGTGAGAGCGGAAGTGCCCAACTCTCCTAACGAAACACTGGGAAGGACTGTACTAAAACTACACAAATTTCTCTTTCTAGCTCATTTCTCTACACAGTCAAACACATGAATATAATGAAGTTGCCAGTCTTTTTGGAAAAACAATGGATCGCAACCGAATTGAAAGAATCCAGAGAATTCAAAATTTAGATTTATGGGAGTTCTTCTGCAGGTAAGATGTTTCTAATCTGAATCTTCTGCCATCTCTAAAACTTCTATAGTCTTGGAGATGGTTGAGCACAGGTATTTAGGGGGGTCAGGCATTAGTTTTCAGAGGGGTAAACATATGTTTTCCTCTTGCCATCCTTTGATCTGCCTGTCAGCTCCCTTCTCCAGCATTCTCGGAGTGGAAGGGAGCAAATCTGTAACTCCAGTCTGTAAAATGTGGGAAGCATTCTGTCTTGGAAGATGGAGAGCTGAGCATGCTGTGTAAAAGGGGCAGGCACCTTTGTCCGTGTAACTTAGTTATCCATATAACTCAGCCTTTCACTTTGATTTCCAGAAATCTCTGGAAACATTGTTGAATTTCATTTTTAAACAATTGTACCGTCTTACCTGTACCATTTACTTGTTTTGGTTTAAAGAGTACATACCTTTGATTTTTTTTTTGCATACCTTAAAGTTCATGTTGTAAAACCTAAGCTTATTACTAGATTTAAGCTGGAACTATCTTATTAGATATCCCAGTGTGTACTTATCCTAAAAATAAACATTACAGAAAGTATAAAGGTATTACTCAAATTAACCTGTTGTGCTATAGTTTTATAATAGAGGTGTTACTTAAATAACTGTCTGAGATATTTTTAATTTTTATAGATGAGATTTTTATTTGTAATTTTTATTATAAGATGACTTTTAAGTTTTTATTTTAAAACTTTGAAATAGATGCAAGTAATATAATGTACCCCTTATGCTGATCGTTCTTCAACATTTATCAAAATTTATCTTACATATTATATATCTCCTTTTTTGTTAGTGTTGTTACTAAAATATTTTAAAGCAAATCTCAGACTTTAGCTCATTTCTTTTTCATATCCTTAAGAATTTGGCTGTATTTCGATTGATACATGAGATTCTTTGATGGTTTTGACTAGTTAATATGGCTTTAATATATTGTAGATTTTAGTCTCATAATGATATATACTACAATAAGGAGCTTTCAGCATGTGGTTTTTATTATCTGGTGACTTTAGACCAAGTCAACTCAATTTTTTTATACTAACTAAATTTAACTGGGTTTAGAAAGTTTCATTCAGTCTTATTTGGATGTTTCTCTTACAGAGGAATCTAGAAGCCTTTTCTGCCCACTTTAATTAGGTTTTATATTTTAGTGAAAACATATTTTTCTAAAATGAGTTGATTAAATTGTAATTTCTTTTTTTGTTTTTGGGAGGTACTGTGCATTGAATCCAAGGAATGCTGAGCTCCCTCCCCCCCTCTTTTTTTTTGAGATGGGTTCTTAATAAATTGCCTAGAATGACCTCAAACTTACAATCCTCCTTTTGCTTTGGCCTTCCAAGTGGCTGGGGTTATAGTTGTGCGCCACCATAACCCATGAATTCATTGTCTTTTGTTTTATTTTTGTTTGCATGTTTGTTTGGTTTTTTTTTTTTGTCCGAATGCCTTCAGGGCATGATTGGCTGGCTTGAGTTGTGGGGATGGAACAACAGCAACCTGAGCCTGACTGCTTTGTTGAAGCAGCCACTTAAAGAACTGAGTTCAGGGGCAGGCCCCCTGCATGTTTGTTTTTGAGGTGAGGAGTAAACCCAAGGCCAGGCAAAAGCTCTACCACCTAGTTACATCCTCAGCCCTAATTCATTGTTCTAAATCAGGCCTCTGAAGTAGAGTTTATGTTTGTTTCCTTCATAATTTGAATTGCCAGTAAAAGTCTAATGGTAAAAATGTACTGCAGGATCCCTAAAACATTTTATGCTAGGGATCTCATTGGAAGCAATTGTACTCCAGCAATGCCCTTTCTGATTTCATGTAATGTCAGCCTGTGGAAATCTGTGGCGGTAAACGAACCTGCCACCTGCCTTGACCTTGCAGAATGCCAAGTCTCATTGTAAGGCCGGTCTGACATCTCCCCCAAGAACCAAAACAACAGTAGTTGCTGTCATCTAAGCTGTGACTCATCATACATGTGGCAAGCCCATGTGAGTCCATCGGGAATCACCTAATAATCCTCAAGCCTGCCTTCCTCCCTTTGCTTCTGCCTGCTTTGTGACAGGCACTATTCTGGGCACCTGGGCTGTGATGGTGGGCAGGGCTATCAGCTAGACAAGGAGCCAGGCCACTGCCGCCAGAAATGAATGAGTGAGAAGTACATCGCTAAAGGGAGGATGTCTGTCCACTCTTGTCCACTAAAATAGTGTGTGTATATTGGCTAGGAATGTGAAAAAGTGCTTCCAAAGGCAAATGTCACTTCAGCCAGACACAGCAGGATAGAGAAACAGCATCTTATACAATGGGAGCATTGGGGCCAAAGTTTAGATATATGGAGGAAATAGGAAAATGGAATTTCAAATGTAACAGAAACAAAATGAATAATGAGTGAGGAGGGTAGAGCATTGGTCAGGAGGCAGCGCACGGAGGGGATCCCCATCACTCTCCAGGATGGCGATATAGTTTTCTGCAGTGGCTTTTATTGGATTGAGTGAAACTGATGCAGAGTGGAAGTCAGAAAGTTAGCAGGTGCCAGTGACATAGCCCTTTATAGACTGAACTAAGAGACTCAGATTTGTAGTTTGTTTGTGTGCTTACTTGCTTTGAGACAGCCTCTTGCTATGTGGTCTATGTTGACCTTTTACTCTTTAGCTCCAGCTGGCCCAAACTTGTAATCCTTCTGCCTCAACCTCTTATATGCTGGCTTTGTGGGCATGCACCACCATGTCTGGCAGGACTTTAAGCAAGACAATGATGAACCTAGTTTGTGCTTTAGAAAGATAATTCACTGGGCCATACTGTGGGGAAAGTTTTGAAGTAGTGATTCTCATTTGGGAGGGATTTTGCCCAACAGGGGACATTTGTTGATGATTGGAGACATTAGATTGTCGTGTGAGGACAGCCCTCTCCCCTGTCACTCTTCCCCTGACACCTTTTTCATCTTCAAAAAGTCTGTCTTTGTTCTCTCTTTTACTTATGTCTGAGTTTCTCATATAAGAGAAACTATGTGGTATAACTTTCTGTCTGCCTTACTTTGCTTAAAATGTTAATGGTCTCAAGATGCATCCACTGTTTTGCAAATGGTGATATTTTTTATCGCTGAATAAAATTTAATTGTATACATATAATACATTTTCTTTACCATTCCTCATAGAAGTTTAGGCTGTTTCTAGAGCTTAGCTGTTGTGAATTGTGCTGCTAGAAACTTGGGTGTGCTTGGATCACTATAGCAGGAAGTTTTAGGGGAATATACCTACCTACGAGAGATATGCCAGGTCAAATAAAATTTCTGTTTTTAGTTTTTTAAAGAATCTCCATATTGATTTCCAAGGCATGAGAGAAGAGAGATCTAAGCATTATAGTTAGAAGGAACTTACGTGGAGGAAGAGTTACAAGACAGGAGAAAGAAGGGAAGGATACTTGATGGACTGAGTCTTCCAAAGAGTCAGAGAATGTGTGTGAAAAAAGAGGTGGGCAAGATATCCAGTTCCATGTATAAATAAGTTAGAAATAGTAGAGGAGAGGAGCTGGGGGTGGCTTTCCTCTCTAATACCTTCAGTTCCCATGATGAAATACAAAATGAAGCCATCTGCATAAAAGGAAGTACCAGGGAGGCAAGATTAAGACGGAAAGAAGAAAGGGAAGAGTTGAAATGGCCACTATGGAAAATGGAGAGAGAGCTAGCTTGGGAGCTGGAGGATTTCCATGAGTAAGGTGGAGTCTGTTGGAGAATGTGCCTTTTTGGTAGAAATCATGAGGAGTTTTATGTGATTTACTTGTGTAGCACACATGTGAGAGCAGATAGGAGACATAGTTGGAGTGATCCTGGTTGGAAAGTGAAAGCTGCTGTCTTATTAAAAATGTGGATTTAGATGTTTCAGAGATTCTCACACCTGGCTGTGTGTCAGAGTCATCTCCTCAGCACTTAGATGTCTATCACCTATCCCAGATACGCTGAGTCAAAGCCTCTGAGGTCTGCATATCCTATCTTTGGGAGGGTCTCTAGGTGTTTCTGGTGTCCACCCAGGATGGAAGCCCATAGTCTAGACCAGGGATGGCGAACCTTTCAGGGGTACAAACACAACTGCTTTGCCACATATGCTGTAGATTCACCACCCCTGATTTAGACCTAGGGATGTTTGCTTCTGTCCAGAAGATCTCTCTCTCTGGTGCAAAATATGTAATATAAAATCTGCTGGTTTTGGCATTCTGGATCCTGAGAGGATAAGTAATTCTGAGACATCTTTGAGAAGTGAGTGCCATAGTATTTTCAGTAAGTTTAGAAATAATTGTGGATTTGGCCACAGATGGGCAGGGCTATGAAGAATTTAGTGTAGTCCTCTTTCTTTGCAGGTTTAACTGAAGTTCACAAGGTCCTGCAACTCAGCTTTGACTTTGCTGGAACACAAAAGGCATAGTCTGTGAGTGTCCACATTTTGTGGGTGACTTAGTTGGGGCATTACAATAAAGCTTGCTGGGAATGCAAAGCTTTAACCACCCTGCCCCACCTTGCCTCTAACTTGTGTGTGTGCTCTGTCCAGTCCATGGACAAGCAGCTTCATTGCCATTAATCCCCACTCTCCAGACTTTTAAGTGACTTTTCAAAGCCATACTCATTTTAATCTGTGCCTGAAGTGGACTAAGTGGACTTCCTGATTTTCCAATTCTAGTCGACTATATTGCTCATAGACCTTACAAGGATATGTAGTAAACAAATGTGTACTTCAAAAAATAAAGTAGTATGGATTCATTGATATCTGACTAATTGATAGGGTTACCTTAGTGGCAGGTAGGAGAGCCCCGTGGACAGTCTGACTTGACTCCTACAAAGTACTTGAGAAAGCAACACGTAATGAAGACAGTGTATGCAAGGTGTTAGTACAAAGAAAAAATTATCAGAAGTCATTTTTTGTTGTTGTTTTGTTTTATTTATTTGTGTACTGTTTTGAGATAGGGTCTTGCTTTGTAATGTAGGCTGGCCTTGAATTTACTATGTAGCCCACGCTGCCCTGGAACTCACAGCATTCCTCCTGTCACAGGCTCTTGAGTGCTGGGATTTCAAGTGTGTACCTACAAACCCAATTAAAATTAGTAGAGGTCTTAAGCAAAGAATTGCTTCAATGGCATGCTTGCTTTTTTCCCTTGAGTTCTTCAATATTTTTTTATCAAAAATTTGGATGAAATAGGCTGTCTTATTACCATTGCAAAAGATTCAAAACTAGAAAGCCTAGCTTATTTTGTTAGTGATCAGTAAGCACTTGGAAGATTAGAAGTGGGTCAAAACAAATACTACTTTTTCTAAGGTTTTTTCTTAGTTATGAAAGGGACAGATGTGCCTTATTAAAAAAAAAAAAATTGAGACAGTGCATAAAGTTCTGAAAAAGATATAATTGCTTTCTAGATTTATGTATTAAATGAAGTTTAACTGAAATAATTCCACAGCATTTAGTTTCTTAGTTGTACAGAGTAGCAAGAGGAGAAAGTGTGGTCTGAGAGTGCCAGGAGTGCTGAACGGCTGCATACACCGTCAGCACTTGACTTCACTGTCACAAAACCCAGCAACCAGATTCCTGTTAACTAAAAACAGTCCAGTATAGAGAGGAAGCCATGTCATGTGAGGAATGGTGGAGGGGACGGTATGGACTTAACCCAGAGGAGAAAGCTTGCAAGGCATTCCTAGATATTTCTGGGTACTTACAAAGTTGTTTGAGTAAACAAATGTTTTGAGTCATTCTGTGTTCGAGAAACGATAACCAAGACCAGTCAGCAGGAGTAATAGGAAGATGGATTTTGGTTCAGTGTTGGGATGCATGTACTTTCTAAGAATTACAGATGATTGCAAATAAACTTTGTTGGGCTGGGGAAATAGCTCAGCACAATAAGCGCTTGCCTGGCAAGTGCAAGGCCCTCAGTTCAATCTCCAGTGCCGCAAAAAACAAAACAAAACAAAAAACAAATAAACTTTGCTGTCTGGCACAGAAGAGCCTTTGACACTTTCTTAGTTACTGCCTCATTACAGGAACAAAATTCCTGTCATTCACAAGTAGAGCAAAGGTTTATTTTAGCTCACAGTTTGTAGAAGTTTCAGTCTGTACTCACACGGCTCCAAGGCACGGTGGCACAGCAGAAGAGGAACAGTCCACAGCAGGGTGGATAGCAGGCAGCAAGCCTGCCTTCCCATCTTTCCCTCTATATTCCATCCAGCCTATAAGCTTATTGATTGGTATGACCCACACCCAGAACTGTGCTAACCTCATTAAGAAGAGTTACCACAAACTCTTAATCCATATTCACTCACCATGATCTAGTCCCCTCTGAAAAGCCCTACCTATGAGCATGTAGGACTTTGGAGAGACATCTAGATCCAGGCCATAGCAGCACTGGATTAGAATGAAGAAGGCCTTCAGTAGTTAGGTATTAGACATGGAAAAGGAAGTGGTTATTTCTAACTCTTCTCAATGAAATATTCAAAAAGTGAGAATATAAGTTTACCTACTGATCAGACTTGATGTTTTCATGTTTGGCTCACTTTCTTCATCTTAGCATCATGATTTTAAAGATGTAAAACACTAAAGCAAAGTGCTTACCTCTGCTCCATCTACTCCTTTTGTCCTAAATGTATTCAGTGACTTCCTTTCTATACTTTTTAGTTTTTACTATTTGTATGTGTGTCTCTATATAGTACACAGCATTATTTTGACAAATGTTTGTTTTCACAAGATTCTTTGTACACTTAGCATTGTATTCTAGATTTACTGTGGTAATACACACAAATCTTATTTATTACTTTTCAATTTTATATGCAAATATATAATTATATTTTTTCTATGAATTTTAGACTCTCAAATTTTTTTCTGATATAATCAGTCCTAAATTAAAATCAATCCATAAATCCTTTATGAGTTGAAGAGATTTCTCCATTGGAAAGAGTATTACATTGGATGGTTTAATGTTTTTCAGATTGAAATTCACTTAAATTCAACCAAAATTTTGTTATCTCTAGAGATAAAAAAATAAGATAATTGATTGTCTATAGATTCTGTGAACTTTGTACTGTTTGTTTATAGTCTCATTTATAGGCATGTATAAACCTACCTGGTCTAGGTAGTCAATTACTTTTACTGTTACAGGCATAGTCTGGGATATCTGTACCTGTTGATGAGATTTTTTTTTCTTTTCCCTTGATACCAAGGCCCGAACCCAGGGCACATGCTGGATCAATGCTGTGCCATGGGCTACATCCCCCAGCCCTTTGTAGTCTACTTTTCAACCTCTGCTCAGTGTTGACTAATAATTTTTGATAAAGAATTATGTGTAGTACAAGAGGATTCAAAATTATTTGTTTTCCAGAATTACTTTGTCTACTTATGATTTATATTTAAAAGTATTTATTTTTACACTTCCTGTTGAACTTTTCTTTTTAATAAATTAGTAAATGCTACTTATGGTTTATTTCTGTGTGTGCTATTTTGTCTGTGTGTATTGTTTTTAGGAAAAAAGCTCAGCTCAAGAAAAAAAGAGGCATCCCTCAGATTAATGAGCAAATGCTATTTCATGGTACCAGCAGTGAATTTGTGGAAGCAATTTGCATTCATAACTTTGATTGGAGAATAAATGGTATACATGGCGCACTATTTGGAAAAGGTAATTATCAGAATTTCAGGTCTCAGTTGAGCCCAAAGACAGTTTTGTCTCTTTAGAAATCATTGATTGTTTTCTAATGCAGGGATTTGGTAATAATTATGTTAAGAGTTGCTTTATTAGGCTCTACGCATGCACTCAGAGTTTTTGAGCCGCAAGAACATCAGCTTTTATGCACACAGATGAAAGTGAGACTGTTCCACTTGTGCCAGATTAAGTAGCTCCCCAAATCCCAGTCACTGAGATGGAGTTTATCCATGTTAGAGAATTTTACATTAGATTTAACTTTCATGTGCAAGTCCTTTCTGTACACTAACCTACTTTCTGGCAGTATATAAAGGGTAATATAATACGTTAATTATGTTGTGCCCCAGTACCTGTCAGTGTTTTTATTTTGTTTTCTTTTTAAAGAAAATTATAGGTAAGACTATTAACAGGCAATAAGGTATATGGGAGGAGGGAGACTTCCCCTGTTGTCATACTGTGAAAGTTGAAATTGTTCAATTTATCCCCACAAGCAATTAAGGAAAGAGATGAGGGAGATAAGGGATTAAGCATTTGTTCATCCAGTCCTTACATAAATCCCATCAGTACTATATTGGGTGAAGATGGGACTTTGGTATTCATTTGCAAAATTGGTTAGAGTAGGTATTTCCTGAACAGTGTCAGTCTCTTCTGTTTGCCATTTCCAGAGAGTGGGCTACTTTATTGAATTTTCATTGTAGGCACTAAACCCATGAAAATACTCTTCTGGAATGCTCAGGCATGAATATCTGAGCATGAAAATCAACTTGAAGCTGGCAAGGTTTGCTTTGGCTTCAAGTTTCAGTCCATGATCAGCCGTGTTGCTTTTGGGCCATGCTAAAGAAGATGGTGAGAGCAGGGGTACCTAATGGAACAAGTTCCCTTCATGGCAGTTGGGAAATGAAGAGAGAGAGGAAGATGAGGGTCACATCCCTTCGTGCATCCCTAGTAAGCAAGGCCTCCTATGAGGCCCCTCCTCCTAAAGGTTTCACTACCTCCCATAGCACCAGGCTGGAGCCAAGCCTTTCATGTACTGGTCTTGGGGAACATGTAAGATCTAGACCATAACAATGCTTCATACTTCCCTGGAATCTTTTTCTGGAATATAAAGTTCCATTATTTCCAGGACTGTTATTGGGTTGTTAACCTACATCATAGAAATATAACTTCTTCTGGCTTTAATTCATCCCTGGGAACTAAAGTTTTCCTTGTGCTCTCCAGAGCTCTGTTGGATGTTAAACAAGGGGAAGGGAGGAGACTTTTAAAGGAAATAGAAACAGTAATGAGGCCCACACAGTCAAAAACAGGTCGTTAACCCCCAGTAACCAAAACAATAGCAACAACAAAATTCAGATTCTGCCACACTTTTAATTCTGAAACCATTTTAATGTGTTATACTTATTGGGTTTCTCTGGAGATTCCTTCTAAAGCAGAAGTCTGGTATCTACAGCTAGGTGGAAGTAGGGAAGTGTATTGGAGAGACCTCGTTTATACCAACAAATCTACGCCTGGGCTAGGTGGTCCGTACCACAGCTGTCCCCTACAAATAGATTTCCTTCTTCTTAGGATCTGTGAATGAGGAGAGTCCTCACCTGTTTTTGTTATGACTCCATGTGTCAGTTCTCCTCACAATTAGAATGTTTTTGCTTGTGTTTGCTATGTTCTTAGGAGTAATCTCAGCTCTCTTTGGTCCTTTTTGTTCAAGGAACCTATTTTGCTAGAGATGCTGCTTACTCCAGCCGCTTCTGCAAAGATGACATAAAGCACGGAAACACATTCCAGATTCATGGTGTCAGCCTGCCACAGCGGCATCTGTTTAGAACGTACAAATCTATGTTTCTTGCTCGGGTGCTAATTGGAGATTACATAAATGGAGATTCCAAATACATGCGACCCCCTTCCAAAGACGGGAGCTATGTGAACTTATATGACAGCTGTGTGGATGATACCTGGAATCCAAAGATTTTTGTGGTTTTTGATGCCAACCAAATCTACCCTGAGTACTTGATAGACTTTCATTGACTTCACTTCTGGTTCTCAGTGGTCAAGGGAGTTTCATTCTTTTTTGCAGGATTTGCTCTCCTGTCATCTAGCTACTAAATATTAATTATCTGATACTTTTGAATCAGATAGGAAAAAAGTAGCTTGCACATAAAAAGACATACTGACTAAAAAGGTTGGTTTTCTGTTGCTTTGTTTTTTCTGTTATTCATATAGTCTTTCCTATTAAAAATTAATGCCATTGCCATTCTAACACATAAGGATGAGATAACATTGAAAATTGAATCAGCTGAGACTCAGTTACCATGGTTATGCAATCTTTAGATTTTACACGTCTGATGGGGATAACTGCTTTTAGTTCAGATGGACTTAACTACAGTATATATTCAGAAAATAAAAAAAATATATGCAATCGTATCCCTTTAGAAAAACTTACCCTTTATAAACTGAATTCTGGTATTATTGGCCACCAATTAACTTATTGTTTGGTTGGTCTTTGAAAAAGAGATATAATCCCTGAAACAGTTTGGGCTCTTTGAGAGAAATAAGAAACAAGGATGTTATTTGCAGTGCTACCCAACAAGCCAGAGGAGACAAAGTAGGGAACCCTGCTTGCTGTTGCCTTAGGACTTCGGGCTGCAGCCTGGATGAGTTCTTTCTCTTTGGTCTCCTGTGTCTGAAATGACAGGTACTGCTGACTGATTTATCCATGGTTCACCCACTGGGGTTCTTACACTAAGACTTGGTGTGCAAAGTGGCTATTTTATCCTCCAAGTGCAAGCTTTATTTATTGTTTAAAATATTTGTTTTCCCTTTGTTTCAGAGTCCTTATAGTGATTACTTCTAAAGTGTTTTAATCTGCCTCCTGTAACACTGACAATTAATCAACAGTGACTTTGAAAATTCACATTTCTCCATTTTGAATGATTGCAGAAAAATATATAATGCTCAAAACAATGTTGTTTATCCTTTTCAGCAGCCACAGGCACCTTCTAACTCTTGAATAGTTATGTAGAATTCATTATTGTATTTAGTGGAAGCCCATATACCCTCTGTTTTGTCACTTTATGTAAGAAAGAATAAGCAGTGTTGGACCAGCTTACTACCTGTAAGTGTTCTAGCAGAGACTAGACAAGTTTGGCAGGATCTTGTGAGGAGTTGAAGCATCAGCTGAGGAATTGTTCAGATGATTATTAAGAGCCTTTTCAGCATTGATTTTTCCATGAACACTTGTACCATGACTTTCTCAGAAAATGTTTTTAATTATTCATAGTATTGAATTCTTTCTCCAATATCCTTAATCAATTTTGACAGAAAGTGAGCACAACTTAACTTCTAGAAAATGGCCATGCCCATATTGTTCTACTCAACTGCTAAAATTGGGGAGACATCTAGAAGTGAGAGAAGCAGAGTATAGAATAGAATTAGTGATAGGAACTGTCTAAGTGCTAAATTGATTAGACTTTCATTATAGCCAAGGATATGTGTAATTGTGCAGTGGAAAGTAAATAAACTGTAGACAGGAAATTGCATGCACAGTGCTTTGAAACAAAGTAGCAACAAGGATTTCCAGACTCAGATGTGCAGATCCATTGCTGTTTAGGTAGAATGATGGGGATAATTGAAAGAGCACATCTTACAAATGTGAGGATCATGGACATAGGGCTGCCTTTGAAAGGCAGTGAGGTGTGGCTGGGGACTAGTGTGCAAGACACAATGTTAGACACATTAGGAATTCAGATTTTCAAAATCTTTCTTGTGGTATTTGTTGCAGCAGTTGCCCTTTTAACATGACTATGCCCCCCATCCCCCCATCCCCCCACCCCCGCCCAATGTAGCAAGGACGTCTTTCTCAGCACTTGAATAACTATTGGAGTATTGGGGAGATGTTTTTCTTTTAGACACATGCAGATCTGAACTCAAGGTGACTAATAACCCACAGTTCAGTATTTGGGAGTCTGAGCCTGTGCATTTGGTTGATACGAAGTAAATAGGGTACACTACAGTAGCTGCTGTAAGAAAGTACTGTGGTATTGTTCATGTCTGAGAATGGATTGCCAACTTCATTTTTATAATAATTGATTTTGATATATATTTTAAGATATGATAGTACAAAGTTAATTGATGTTAAAATTATCTTTGTTTTGGTCATTAACTTGAGCTGAAACATGTTACCAGTTTGTAAGACTGGGTAAGCCATTTACTGTTATTTCTTCTGGTCATTGCATAGTGTATGTGAGGAGAGTGAAGAGCAGCTATTCCAAATTAATGATAAATGATTTTTAAAACTCTGTATTGAATAAATTATAGCTGGTAATGACTTTTTCTCTCTTTGGGGAGTCTCAGAATAAAATTAAATGTGTTTTTTTAAAAACACATTGATAGGACTGTTATGAACAGGGAGGTCTTGTTCATTGTGTCCTTTCATTTGAAGACCATTGATGGTAAAGATGATGAAGGATCTGGAGCCATTTTAAATAAATGAGTATGTTGTTTTTACATTTGGTGATTAAAGCTCTGTAGCAAGTCTTGATTGTCTGTATGTGCCACATTCTTATTTCTGTGATTTCTATGTCTCATCTCTACCTTGCATTATTTGAACTTAGGTTTGCAGCTGAGGTTTCATGGGTGCCCCCATTAAAGCTTCTGTGCCTCATTGTGTACAGGCCAAGTCTCTTGCTCTCAGTTGAGTCATGAACAACAGCTGACCAGGTAACATTGGAGAATATTATACCTGCTGTCTGCTTTTGAGAATTCCAAGTCAGCTCAAGACCAGACTCCTGCAAGCCCCTTGCTCCTGGAGGGTTCTGGAGGGTCTGCCCATGCTCATTCAGGAAATATGCTTCCCTGGCCCTTCCATCCCTAGCCGTTCCTGTTGATATAAGTTAAACACTGCACTTAATCTTTAAGTTTCTTTTGGTAGAAAAGGAAAATCAGAGATTATATTAAATTTGGAGCTGAGAAATAAGGGACAAAATGTTTGAAGATTATCTGTGGATACAAGGTGTTGGCTCATTAAATCATGTCTCGGTGTATTTAAATGTTGAGCTAATTATTAATATGCGTGATAAAATTGAGCTTTGGGAAGTACTACATCCTTATAGACTTTGTTTGTAGGCCATTCACAGAGCTGAGATCACCTCTCAGGTGCCAGGAGTAATCTCAGAAACAGCCTTGCAGTGGCCCCAGTCACTCCTTAGTCCCCAGATTTTTCTTTTTCCTTAAAGGTAGATGTTTTGTTTTTAAGTAAATATTTTATTTTCCTTAAGTAGTCAATTTCTAGATGAAATTATATTCTTATAAAAGAGAAAAAGGAAATGAAAAATAGCGAAGAAGAGGAAAACAAAAGCAATGTGAAAAAATTATTTCTTAAGAGATAAGGCTGGAACTCCTAGGTTCCAGCAGTCCACTGGCCTTAATCTCCTGTACTGGGGAGTACAAACCCATACCAGTGTTCTCAGCAAAAATTACTTTTGAATAGAAAGTTTGGCAGAGGGATTTTACTTATTTTTATCAATTTGCACTATGTTAGAAGGTGTTTTGGTGAGATAATAGCCTCCTCCACTTCTCCAGTAATTTTTTGATGTTGCTTGGGTCAATACAGAAGAAAGAATCATTTTAAAGACATACTAAATATGCAGTGATTTCAGGGATAGCTGGTTAGTGGGAGTGATGTGTATAGGCAGAGGTGAACCTGAAGTATCTAGAAAAGAGGTTCAGGGTTTGTGATCACCTTCACCTGTTCCAGTAGTAGCTTGGATCTTCTCTGAAGACATGAGGTGGAAGGTGGGCTAGAGAGAGAGCTCCTGTGGTCTCTCATTTCTCCCCCTTCCACTCTCCATACTAAATGAATATGGTAAATCCAGGTAAAGACAGCTCAGTAACTCGTAACATCCAGTGAAGCCATTGCAGTAACTGAGCTAAGCCTCTTGCTGTATGATTATGTAATCCATTTCTTTGGATTTAATTGCTTGGCTTTTATTCTTAGCACTGCAGGCTAAGAACTTGGCTTTCACATGAACTTTTTGGCTGGATGGCTGTGTCTAAGCATTTAGCATTGGTCTTGCTCACTTTGAAGCAGTTTCTCTTGAGATTGGAATGTGGATTTTATGCCAGATAGTAGTGGTGTTTTCTGCAATTTCTTAGCTTTGCCAGATCCTCTACAGTGTGCTGCTTCTGACTCTGCAACCTATGTGAATTTTAATGTAGCTTAAAAGAGCCACAGTCCAGAGTTTAATTCAAGAGATTTTGGCAGTATTCATTGTAGTTTTCTGTTCATTAAAAAAAAAAAAAAATACCTCTTCCTGAAGAGCTTATCTTGCTGTCATATCTCCCATGTCACAGGGAAGCCACAAGTGTTATAAGCTCTGGTTGAGTTAACACTCTTAGAGATCCAGCAGTTAAAAGCATTTCCCCTGAATTGTTCCTTTGAGATGAAGTACCACTCTGGGAGCTGGTTGGTGGGAGTTCCGTTCCTGGCTTTGCTGTTTGAATCATGTGACCTTTGGGTAAGTCACCAGAAGGGGAAAGTAAAATTGATGAAAGACTACTAAAACTCCTTCAGAGAAAAAGACCTCACAGAGCACAGCTGGATTTCTCTAGGCAACATCTGACCTGACAGAGAAAGAACTTGACTTTGGGTCAAGAAAATATAGTAAGAGGGATCGTAGTGCATTAAGTCAAAAGAAGCAAAGGCTCAGAGTAGGAAGAAAAAGGTTTTTTTCTGGCCCTCCCTGAAATCGTGTCACTAATTAGTCCTCTGATCCCCTTGTGGTTACTGCTCCAGGTTCACCTATGCCAGGCAGTGAGCAAGTCAAATGCAGCTTTACTGTCATACGTCATGAAGTCTGTCAGGGATAAGAGAGGGAAGGCTTTACAAACAGGAGCGTTCACCTTGAGAGCCCGTGCAAGGAGGCAGAAGGCAGGCTTCCCTGGGAAGGAACATGCAGATGTGGAGATGGAGAGAACTGTAGGTGTCAGGTGAAGGATGGTTCTGTCCCTCTGGTCATACCCATCTGTGCCATATCAAGCCATATCAAGCTCTTTTTGTGAGAAAAGCTATGAATAAAGCCAGGTTGGACTTTTTTTTTATCATTAAAGCTCAGAATGGGAGAATCAAAGCTATCAAGATGTCTTGCCTCCAAACCCTGCACCTGGCCTGAGGATCAACCTCAGGGGAACCAGAGCCCTGCATTACTGGGTACATGAAGAGAGCATAGGGGTTGTGCAGAAATCTGTGCAGTGTCCTAGGTGATTCAAGATGTTTGGTGGAGAGGTTTGTACTAGTGTCAGACTCCCCACAGTACACATATTCCTCCCTTCTACCTTGTTTATCAAACTGTGTTTATCAGACCATGAGCTCTGGAGATACATAGCTAAGTTGATTCCGGGATCCTTTACTTACCTGCTGACTGACCTTGGCGATGTTACTGAGCCTGTCTGTGCTACTGTTTCTTCATCTGCAACAGGGGAACAGTGGTCATGTGCTGACCTCGGCGGGCTGCTGCAAGGATGAAGTGATGTGGAACAGGCCTCGGCATGTCAGTGGGTATATTAACATATAAAGCCCTTCCTCTTTCAGGAATAGTGCTGTACCTAATACAGTCCTCCAAAGCCAGGATTATTATGGGATTCATACTACACTTGGAGTTAGAGGCGTCCCTTTTTTTTCTTAGTATTTACTCAATTAATGCCTTTCAACCCAAGACTGCCAAAAGCAACTTGCAAGTTAAACAACTAGATTTGTTACCACAGCAAGCACGCATACCCTGGCCACTATGGAGTGTTCTGTTCAAAGGAATGTGATTTTTTGGGGTAGGATTTAGCTGTGGTTTGGTGATTGGGGTAGGCCAGGGAAGTCTCGATTTCACTGTAGACTAGGAGTTGTAGGAAAGCAGGCACAATTCTTCGATGCTATGTCTGTAAGTTCCTCTAGGAAGACTAGCTGAGGATGAAGTATGATAGGTGAAGGAGATGCACCCTCGTTATAGCTTAGAGAAACGGCGTTCTGTGGGTGACCTTATTTTCATCTGTGCTTAGACAAAGTGGCTAAGTAGCCTTGCTTTGTCTTCTCTTCATGTAGTCTTAGAGTAACCCTGTCTGAGGTCGGTTTTCAGTGAGAGTTCAGGTTCAACAGAGTAGCCGGATTAGTGGAGAGTACAGGCTTGTTATGAATGTGAGGAGCTGCTCTTTCTCTACTTGTCATTTATGTGAGTTGATTTTCTTTCTCTGTGGAAACTGTTGGTCAGTGTATCTATTCATTTAACAAAACACCACTGTCTACTCCAGACAGGAACAGTAGGATGCAATAGTGAGAACCTGCCTTAGAGAAACTCAAGGTCTAGGATTTTTAAAAGTCTTTAGAGATTATTCTAGTTAATAGTTCTGCTAGTTTAAATGCCTTTTTTAACCTTTCCCACAAAGTACTCTAACCTGTGTGTGGCTATTCCCAACTACAGAAAAATCCTGCTGTCAGCCGAGCTGCATGTTAAAAAATTGATTTACACCTGGTTTTATATTGCAAACCATAGACCCAGGTCTACCTGCCTACTAAAGGCACACAGAACACGTGTAAGTGAGCCCTGGATTTCCACATTGCAGTTCTATACTACCTACTCTTACATTCATCTCAAAAGAATATTATAATTCAACATGTAATTTAATACTGATTTCATTTTCTGTATGGCTCTCCTCTTTGAGTCTATTTGATCTGAGGAAAAGAGACTGTTAGTGAGGGATTTTCTAACAAGGTTGGTACCTGCCTGGTAGGTGTTACAGAGAGACTCCACTAGATGGCAGCACCTTGCCTCTGAATGAGCACAACACCACCTGAGACCTGCACTTGCATCTGAATTTTATTTATTTACATGTATGTATATATGTATGTATGTATGTATATATTTAGTGGAACTGGGGATTGAACTCAGGCCCTTGTGCTTGCAAGGCAAGCGCTTATTCTACTGAGCTATCTCCCCAGCCCTGCATCTGAATTTTAGAGAACAAGGTAAGGGACTTCTCCACCTTATCTACCCAGATTATCTAGTTAGTTCCCCTGTTGTAAGGTGGGAAAACCCCACTCAGATCCACCTAGACAGGTATTTGTCCCACTTACAGCAGTTGCTAGGAAAAGTGTGTCTCTTTCTGATACTAGCGTAGTCTAACATTTAGGATTTTGTTGAAAGTTTGTCCTAAACAAGGTCACATGTATTTCCTTTCTGTCCTCTATGAAACTAGATTTAATTCAGCAGAAAATTATTGGGCATGGTCTGAGTCTATGAATTCAAAAACCTTTACCAGTGAGTCATTCTTTAAGCCTGACTTCTTTATCCCCAACCACCTGGCATCTTCTTTACATTCTTCTCTATTACTGTTCACCTACGTGATGCTTCTTGACTATGGGCTGAGCCCCCAGGTTTTGCCTTCTTCCCTAGATCAGATAAGATAACCTGGTCTCACAGTCCCAGAATTAAGCCCTCAGAACACCTTATGCGCTCTTGAGTTGTTATACTCTCTGCCCTTTATTATTAT